AAACGTAAAATACTTCTTTTTCGTTACAACTAAATTTCACGAAAGAAATTAAAGGAGTCATTGAGAATGCTAAATCTAGCGATATTTCATTTGCTTTACAACTAAATTTCACCAAAGAAATTAAAGGAGTCATTGAGAATGCTGAATCTTGGGATATTTCAGGATGTATAATATTTAGCGGAAGTCTCAGCCTAATTAAATGAGGAATGCCTGTATGAACATGAAAAGCGTCGGAACTAGTAAAGGGATTGAAATCCGTTATGCAAAAGGGATGATAGAAAAAATCAGCTTTTCGAAATAGCAACGTACTTGTTTGTATTACAGTTTGCTGAATGAATGAGATTGATTTATGTAAAATATTTTCTACAAGACGTAAGGTGTATAAGAATAAAAATTCGAATGTATATAGACTGAGTAGAGTGTTTATATATACGAAGGAAAGATGGGAAAGAAATGGAAGCACTATTTCAATCTGCTCGAATTTCTCTAACAGCACAAATAAACTGCCACGACACATCATTACTATAAATAAAACCGTTTTTAAAACCATCTCACTTTCATATGATGATTCAGCATTCTCAATGATTTCTGTAATTTCTTTAGCGAATTTTAGTTCTAAAGAAAATCGAATATGTGAAGGTTCAGGATTATCAACGACTCCTTTAGTTTCTTTAGTGAATGTTAGTTGTAAAGAAAATCAAATATGGAAAGAGTCACGGTTACTCATGGCTCATATAATTTGTTGCGCACTTTTTGTGCTGGTGAAGGGATAGAGGCAACGGTATGTTGGGATGGTAAATTAAGGCTTTCGGGAAATGTTGTTGTTATTGAGTTTCATTAGCTGCTTTTGTTTTACGGGATAAAGCAGAGAAGTTATTTGAGAAAGTGTTTTAGTACTGTACGTTCGGTGGTAGTTGCTAGGAGATTTCTGTGTTGAGATTTAACAGTATATGGTTAAAAGTGGCGGACTAGACGGTTCCTAATTAGTGTTGCGATAGGATGAAGCATTGACTTTCTATAGATAAGAAATAGATTTGGCTTTCAAGTCGAGATCGTTTAGCTGATATTTTTATTTTAAGATGAAAACTCAGTTTAGACTTGAAGTTTATCACATGCCGTTCCTCTTTTCTGCATTTATATCTGTAGAAAGATATATTGATGGCTTTAACTTATATTTTGCACACATAATATCGGAAAACTACATAAGTTGCTATGCAGCCGCCATTATCGACTATAGTTGATCAAAAGAACAATTTGATGCCATTTTGATCACATAACGAACAGTAGTTCATATCAGAAAACTTATAAGAATACATTTTGCGATGGAATTCCAAGAAACACAGGTCACAGGAAATTCGCCGTATACGGCAGTATTTTGCCGTATTTTGTCGTAATACAACCGCCGTATACGGCTGATGTATATCGCCGTACGTGGCCGTATACGGTCGTTTACGACCGTGTCTATTGGACCTGGGAGTGCCTGGAAACTGCAGTTAGAAAATGATGATTCTGAGCCAAATCACTATAAGAAAAAAAATCCTCCTCCAACCGCTTGTACCTATTGAAAAGTTTTGAATGTAGCCAGCTGATAGCGCTTTTCAAGAACTACAAAATAGCTAATTTCTCGTTTTTTACATCGCAAAATATAAAAGACTAAAATTGAAAAAAGTGCATTTTGGTTTTGAAGGTAATCGATAGTGAAGCTTTTCGTATTTCCTCTATATTTTTCATACTTATAGTATATAGAGAAATGTTCAATATATTTTGTGTAGAGAATTGAACAGGGTGGGGAATATTTTACAAATAACTAAGTATGAGTGATGAAAATTGAAAAACCATTGAGGAAATACTGAGACCACCATTTATTCTAGCGCACGTTATTATCATAGTTTTATTGGTCGAAAACTCTTTCAACTATATTTCATTTTCTTCATTACGATCGAAGATAGAGAATTTTTTTTCTTTTATCTTATATTTTATGAAGGTCAATCAATAAACAGTTTTTTTCTTTTTTTATCTATATATTGTTTATTGCATTACCCAGTCATTTTATAAAATTGCCAAAAAAGAGAAGTCATCCTTAACCTTTTCTAAAATAAAGTTAATATTCTTTCTAAAGAAAACGAAACATGATGCGGTGTATAGAAAAGCAAACAGTAGTTGGAAAATCTTTCGAATAAATCTTGCTTTGTTGAAAAACTCTGTGATTTGACTATTATGATATTTTTATTTTCTTATTTGCAAACGTTAGACGTAATTAGAGGCGAGGCCTACAGCGACGTTTCTCCCTCATATTCACAGAAAATACTCCACTTGAGTATGACTTTTAGTATGATTTCTAGCGCGGCATCCACAGATGACTTTCATATTTTCCTGGCACAATGTTATCATTGTAAGCGCAAAATATAACCTTATTGAAATAAACTCAGAGACATCGTTAAACGATCACATATTATCAGCGACTGTGAGACTTCTTTAAACTTGTCATACTTACAGCAAAACCTCAATACCAGTTTATTCTAGTATATTACTGTGAAATACATTCACAGTGAGGAAAATAAAAAAGTTATATAACTTGTACTACCAGATTTTTGAGATGACAGGAGATGATTGCGAATTGTAAAGCACCCATTAACAATTGCTAAAAATTTAGAGAAAGATTCGAAATGTCCAATTGCTTTCATTGCATTGCAGAATTGATCAGTCTATATTTTGTATGCGACAAAATTAGAGAAGTTTAATGTAATATGCCGTCGATTTATGTTATTATTACAATTTATGCGATCGAAAAAATTGAAAATCATATTTTTGTTCAAAAGCTTTTCGAAACTCTATCGGAAATCAGAGGGTTTTGTAAAGCTTTTCTTGATTTCTTATAAATAGGCTGTAGAATAGCCTAAATACTTTGCATTCTGAAGTTCTGAAGTGAATCTGATGTTTTTTGAGCGAATTGCAATTTTTTTAATATTAGGTGAAAACAGTCTGAAAATGGCAGTTTTTATGAAACTGGGTTTCCACTATGTTTTTGAGTTCTTTCTGAAAAACAAACATTGCCACTAGATTCATTATCGTCGATTACGTATGTTCCATACGATTTCAAGGCTACGCTAAGCCACCAGATACTAGGCCTTGGACTCCAACGAAATCCAATAACCCGCCCGAATCATTGAAAATGAATGCCTCGCTTGACACTTTGAGCTATCTACCCCGGCGAAAAATTCAAAATATTTATATTTCAAGTTTTATTGTGATGATCTGGTTTTGAAAAGCCACTTTAGAAAAAGAGATTCAAAATGACTTCAATGATGAAAAGATGCAGCCAGGTCTTGGCTTTGAATTAGTGAAAACCGGAAGCCTCTATCACTTTCTTGCCAAATGTTACTCAAAAAACACTCGGATCCATTCTGTTTTTTACCCACAATAGTGATCATCAGCGAATCATTTGCAAATAAATTTCACGAATGTGAGAAAATTAATCATTAGTCATCATCTTCTAATCATTGGTGATCATGTATAAATCATTCTTCTTGGCAATTATTGAACATTAACCAAAATTCAAGATTCGCTAGCGACTCTGTGGGGAGACAATGAGGATTATGCATTTTAGGGACTCCCTGGGGAGCGTGAGGGTGACTCCCTAGGGACTCCCCAGGGAGTACACATTTTTAGGGACTCCCCAGGGACTTGGAGGGGGACTCCCTAGGGAGTCCCCGGGGATTATGCATTTTTCGGGGAGTCCCCGGGGACTTTCAGGGGGAGAGTCGACTAGGGTGACTCTGTTTTCAAGTCACCAGGATTCATTAATTTATTTTATTAATTCATATTGTATTCTTATAAAATTTAAAATTCTGGCTTAGAAAACAGCGTCATCAAATCGAAAGCGAAAAAATAAGGAATCTTTTTCTTTTTTGAGTATGAAATCATACAAATGAGCGATAAAGTTGAAAAAACTATGATTATAATTTAGTTAGAGCACAGCAGATACTTTCATTGTTAACGAGATGTTTGCATGATCTAACATTATTCCAAGATTAAGAATGGCATCGCGAACAAACGTTAAAAGTGCTCATAAGCCATTGGTAACAAGAGTTCGGCCGTCACAACCGAAAGCAAACGAAATAGTAGTAAGGAATTTCTCGAGAAAAATAATGAATTGGTTAGCGTTGAGAATGTATTTCCTTTAGTCAACTAACTCTTCAGGGTCAACAACGTCTGAGCCATTATCATCTTTGTCCACGGCAACATTGATTACAGATTTGTCTGATTCTTTCACAGTAGCTACAAAAGCCCAGTATGTCGATTCATACATTCCTCGCTTATATTCATCGATTCAAGGAATGTCTCGACCAACAACTGGCAAACAAGCATCCTCCCCCGTATTGAAATTAGATATTGACAAAGAGACAGCTAATACAAGGTAAGTTGGTAGATATTTGTCTTTCAATAAACAAACAAACGCAATCGTTTATTTTTTCAGTAAAAAAGCAACATTTTGCAGTAAAATTTCTCTCCCATATAAAATAATCGGTGTCATCGCACTACTCTTGATCTTATGTGCTGCCGTCATTCCATCAGTCATTCTATTGACACGTAAAAACTCGTCAACAGGTGAGGCTATCAGTAATTTTCATTTGATGCAAATCACATATAAAAGGGTTGGATACATCTGTGTCCCATAGGGTGGCCACTACTATCAAAGAAACAGTTTACCTATAAAGGCGAATATAAGTTTCAGTGCCATTTTGGACCACAAAACGGGGTATGCATTGGCTTGTGGAGAAAAACTTGTTCTATCCAATGTCGAATCTCGCTGTACGAGAAAATTAAGGTGATCTCCTCGTTTTTAGAAAACGTTTTCGTTTTATAGTTAAATATTTTACAGTATAGAGTTAAGTGTCCTCTACAAAACAAGACTGCTCTCAGCTCTCCATGTGCTTCCGTTGAGGAGACACGAATTTTTTAAAGTTTGTTACTTCACGCTTAGAAAACCCTATTCTTGGTTTGACATTTGGATAGAGCCACTTTTCCTCTAACAGCCAGTGTATATGCCATTGTATGATACAAAATGACACGGAAACTTATGGCCTCTTCTCATCCTATTTCTCATCCTTATGCTTAAGCGGTCAGTACGAAAACTGTTTTACTATTTCTTATCAAACATGTGAAGCGCTCTCTCAAGCTCTGTTAGTGCAAGGAAAAATTAAAGAATAAAGTTTGCTCTTATTTTCCGGTTTTATTTTAGCGAATAGTACTAGTGCCTCGGTCTGTAGTGTTACAACTTGTATCAAGTCAATAACATCATTTCATGAGAATTCAGTTGCTTATTGGCCATTTGATAGCACAACGACTGATCGTAATTCATTATACACTGGTCTACCATTCAACTCACCAACCTATTCAGGCGGTCTAACAATTTCTGGTCAATGCATCCAGTTTGATAGTAGCGGTACTGAATATGTCAGCATGCCATTCATCGATCTCACTTACAAGAGTTTCACAATTCAAGCTTGGATTTATCCACGAAGTATCACCGGTGAGCAGGGAATATTTGGAGAGTGTGCATCCACATTACTATCTGACCAATGTCTTTCACTAAACATAAAAAATGGACATTTACATATGAGTTTAAATCTCGATAATGAATTATTTGGTTCTTCTGTACTAACTACATCAAACTGGTATCACGTTACTTTTGTCTACGATTACTCTCTCCTTCAACAATTTATTTATTATAATGGCGTTCTCGACGCATCATCAGCTTCACTCGGCGTTTCCGGTCCCTATGTCGGAAGCACGGGTGGCTTTACGGTTGGCTACGCCAACTATTCAAACACCTACTATTACGGTTCGGTAGACAATCTGATTATTAGTAATTACGCAAATTCGAGTTGTCAAATTTTGAATGATGCAACCCTTTCTGGTTACTATTCATTCGACTCGACAACTCAGCCTTATCTTGACTATGGCATAAATTTTATTAATGCTTTTACTTCTTCACAAACCACAAGTGTAACCGGTCGAGTAAATCAAGCACTTTTGTTCAATTCAAGTAGTGCCTATTTTATAGCCCAAGTCTTCAGCATACATAATTCAAATCCACCATTTACAGTCGCGTTTTGGATGAGTCTAACAAGTATCACTAGTGGAACAATAATACACGTATCTCAATTATCAACTGGTGCTACTGCAGTTTGTTTTGATCTGCTCGTTCTAACTTCGAGCGGAACTCTTGCTGCACAAACATATTACAACTAGTATGGAAATAACATAACGACAATTCAAACCTCGGTTTTGAAACTGAATTCATGGACACACGTAACGCTTTCCTATTCTCAACCAAATGGTATGAGATTCTATTTGAATGGAGCATTAAACGCCTATACAACTGGTACTCTGTCAATGAATTCTTTTAATACTCCACTTTTTTTAACTCTTGGTAACAGCATGCCAGGAGGAGGTGTTCCATCTGGTTGTTATGTTGGCAGCGTTTCGATAGCATCGGGGCAACTTCTGGGTACTATCGATGAATTGTATGTCTACTCTCGAGAACTCAACCAGAACGAAATATGTACATTAGCTAATCCATGATGATTAATTGTTTTTCTTGATTACAAATATATTTGTTATGAACTAAAATTATACGTAAAATTTGAAAAACTTTCGCGTCTAGTTTCTGTATAGTGAAGGATTTGTTTTAATATTCTTTTGGATGTCATAGAGACTAATAATTCGAAACTAAGAAAATCATGCGAATATAACGAGCTCGTGATTCAAACACTCTCTCTGATCAATAGGCAATGTGCTCAAGACCAAAATGCTCATTGCCTCATCCTTCAAAAATATTCCCGTTTATAACATATCTGACTCGTTCTCTATAAAGAATAACTAGGTTGTAGCGTTAAAAATCCGTTTCTTGACGGAAAAAAACAATTTTGAAAATCCTTATTAGTAAGAAAAATATCAAAATTCTTTGTTCTGTTTCATTTTGAAGTTCTCTTAATTATTTTTCCTAATTTCGCGTATGAAACCGACTCTCGAAATATTATTTAGAGCTTGATTCAATATCATATGATCAATAAAATCAAGAACACCTTAAAGAGCGCCAACAAATTTTTCAAATCTATATAGTTTTTTCCGTTAAGGGACGGAGTCCTGACTTACACTGCATTGGCTCCGTTTTTACACGGGCAACAAAAGTACGCAGAGCTTTCCTGAAATTCGTTTCCGTTGCTAAAAAATTCATTTTTTCTAAACCGGAGACGAAAAAATCAGAATTCTACTCGTAATTCTCGGTTTTCTCCAATAGAACTCAACTTTTCTGCAATAAAAATATCATATTAGGAGTCAGCGTCGAAAACTGAGTGAACTAATGTGTTTTATTGATTTTTAGTCCTATCCGACTACTTTAGTTTTTGTCGACGTTTCACGTTGAAAAATTATCAAGATTTTCACCAGGAAATGAAAATCAAGTACAAATTTCGAAATACACATTCGAAAGTGTCACGAAATGCGAAATTCACAATCGAATTTGCTGACCTAAGTAAAACAAACGTTTTCATGTTTCAGATTAAGAAAGTTAGTTTGGTTTTCTCTTTTTTGTCAGCAGTCTTCGAGAGCAGGACTGGTAACCTCTACTATGTGAATATTCCGTTCGTTTTTCGTTCTTTTCTGATGTTTGTTGCACTACTATCGGTGCCAAAGTAGAAGGCCGGTGATTATTTTTTGAATAACTCAAAAGGAATAAAAGATAAAGACTTGCGATTTTCGTCGTTCGCTAGCCAAGACCTGAAGCTATGTTTTCATAGCAAATTTAGAAAAAATTTCAAAGGCTCGTTTTTCAGGAGAGCAGCGGAAAACAGTTCGGTTCTTAGAAAACAGACATAGAAATCTATGGATTTCTATTTCTTTTTCATAGATATTTACTCTAATGTGTCTTCGACAAAACTGCATCTAAACCACATCTTGGAAATCCATAGTTCGAGAGCTATGGACGTTTTTCCTGAAGCCTTAACACTCGGCGCGAGTGTGCGAATATAAAAACCTAACGGCAAACTCATTCTCTCACACACAGACAAAGACAGGAAAAGATTAAAAGCAACACAGAACAAACAAAAGGATTTGAAGAATTTATAAAGTAAAAAGAACTGGTTGGAGGGAGAGCACAGTAATTAATTTTCACTGAATGTGTATCTAACCTTAGACAGTTAACAGTAAAAATTTGAGCTCGGAATATTAAGTTTGTGAATCAAAACGTAGGTGTCCATGCGTTCCAGATGTCTTCTGCAATTCTAATGATACAGACTTCGAGGTGGTGTCAAAAATGGTTTCGACTAGCCAAAAGAAAATATATGACCGATCAACCGGCCGGTTCGGCCCCGTCAGAAACTTTTAGACCGGTTACCGGCTCGGTCAAGAAAATCTTGCATTTGTTGCTCTAGCAAGTTCAACTTTTCGAATTACCACACCTGTACTATAACCCAAAGGATCATAAGTTAGGAGAACCGCTTCGACCCATAGTAGCCGAAATAAAATCCCCCATCGCTCCGCTTTCCAAGTTTCTTGATCAAACACTTCGCCCCATTTTTGCAAAATACACATCCGATTATACGGCTTGTCCACGTAAAGCGACACTTCGCTGATTAGGTTTATAAAAAAACAATTTTCGCTTTCGAAAATTTTGAACACATCACTAGATGTAATTTTTAATTCTAAGAACCCGTTTAAAACGCTTTTTTGATAAAAATTGGTTTTTGAGTCTCAAAACCGGTTTTTGAACATTTCAAAAATGGAATTTTCTATTTTTAGCCGAGATAGTTTTCGAAAAATAAATTTCTAAACATATGGTTTCGTAGAAAATTTAATTCTCTACAAAATGGCGTCTTTGGTTTTGAGCTTCAGCGCTTTAGAAAATTTGTAGATATTTGTACATTTTCCGACTTAATTTACAGTTTTTGACCCTCCAACCGAGGTAGCGACTTTATTCTTGCGTATATCGGCTGACTGTAGCACGAATAATTATCTGTATAATATCAAAATCTTGTGATCATGTTAAGTCCCTGGAAAACACTCAACAAAAATAGTGCGTAACGCACGTTACGAAAAACGTAACGCCATTATGTTTATGTTTTGATGTTTTTGCCTTAACTGAAGATGTTGGAAAAATTCTTTTTTTACCATCGGATAGCCCGTTCAGTGCTCTGCAATTTCTGTGCTAAAAACTGTTCATTAGTTTCCGAGATAATTTCATTTTAGTGCGTCCAAAACGTAACACCGTTACGTTTGGACAAGCCGACATAATCTCCAAAACACACTCCATTTTCTCTCCATCCTTGACAAACAACCAATTTACCCCGATACTCTTTTATGTTCTTTCGACATAACCGACCTTTACACCATG